ATATATATATATAACCAAAGATATATAAATTTGTATCTGTAGTTCATAAAAATAATTGAAAAGTTCTGTTGTGTCAAAAACTATTTGAAAAGAATACTGTTGAAATATCTACAACAACAAACCAAACGTTCCTGTCCTTCAGCAACAGCTGCCCTCGAACTTGCTAATTCACTCTCAGTCTTCCTCAGCTGTTTAGTCATATTATCTAGTTTCTGTTCCCAAATGATTTTTTCATTCTGAAATGTCACTCATATCAACGGCAACTATCACTTATTTTCCAGCAAATTAAACTTTACCTGCAACTGGTGGATCACTTCTTCCAAACTACCATTAGTTCCTGGCTGCGCTATTCCATGAGGTAAATTAGATTCGACTTTCCTTCGTAAATGTTCAACTTCATCTTGGAACTTTTTGGCCTTAACACATTGAGCGTCAAGCGTTTTAGCCAATTCAGAATTCTAAATTACCCCGAGATCAAGACAACAGGTATAGTGCATAAACATAAACGAAGATTACAAAGAATTATACGAAATCCACAGCTACTAGAGCATACTTTAGACTCTTCAGTTTTCAGCAAGTTCTGCAACTCTTCGTACGAAGACTTCAAGTCCGCACACTTTCTAAGCTCCTCTCGACATCTATCCAACACGTCTTGCAAAGCTTTCTTTTCCTCACGCCATTCCACCTCCTTTTTTGTGTGGGCGGTTTCGTTTTTCAAAAAAACTTCCTTTTCTTCCTCTGCAGCCTGCAAACCGTACCACTTTGAAATCCTCTCTTTGAATGAAAATTTTGTTTTCAAAGTAATATTTACGATAGAAAATTATAATGAACGAATACAAAAAGCGTTCAAACAATTTTTACCGTAGAGCAAAAATACTTGTCATAATATTAAAGTTTCAACTACTGAGGAGATCATGCCAAATCAAAGATCTTGCCTAAGCGCACATGGTAACAGGCACCATTAATTCAGCTACACTATTATCAAGTCATCGCTTGGAAATTAATTTTGAAGCAAAAATTACTTTTTTCTTTTTCATTAACTCCGTTATTCGCGCCTCATAATCATCAACTCTTCTCTGGTAAAGTTCTTCTTTCACAGTACTATCAGACCGCAATTCTTCTAGCTGCCTACTCCACTCATACTCTTTATCGTTCAAACGTTTTTCAAGTTCCTCCCGTTCTAGTTGCAAGTCTCGAGCCTAAAAAATTCACGCATAAAATATAAAGCAAAAAAAAATAAAAACAGAAATAAAGTATACACAACGAACTTTCTCTTTCAGCAACATATCTGCTTGCTCCTGAACAATGTCTCGAAAAGTTTTATCCATCTGCGTTTCCGAGTCAACAACCACGGCCTTTTGTTCCTTAGCAGTTTCTACGAGACGATTACTTTTAGGTGGGAAGTTGTCAATTTGGTTTTGCAGCTTTAGAACTTCTGCCTTGCTCTTTTCCAACGAGTCCTTAAAATCACTTGCAATTTGGAAATAATAATACCGAATAAATAGATCTTCCTTTCTGCTCTCTAGTCTCTAGAACCACAATTATGAGTCTTATAAAATGAATTATTCAGAGACCGATAAATGGAAATAATCAATTTCAATGACAAAGCTCCTCTAAAGTTAGATGATCATCATCTATGATCATCCGTAAAATCAAAGATGAAATATTTGTATTTGACGTGCACGTCATAATAACTTAAATCGCGCACACTCTTAGTGGAATTCTCGGTTTCAGGTTTCTTTTCTTACCTTACCAATCTGTAAGATTTGATACTCAACTGAGAAGTCAAAGAAGCATGTCCTAAAAATTGCACTAATGGCAAAGTTAGACTGCCTCAAAGTGCGAAAATAACATAATTCACCAAAAATGACCATATTTAAGGAACTATAGTTGCGCTCTTTAATAATATCTCTTTAAAGTCTTTAATTAAACCTTGCTTAAATTCGCAAAACCATAAAACAAAAGCATTAACAGTCTATCTAAAAGATTATAGTAAAGCATAACCCAAAAAGTCATTTCTCAAGAATTGATATTTCAAGTTTTTTAAAGATAAGGTCTATTTCTTAAAAATCTAGTTTCTGGTATAAAATTAAAATCTCAAGACGACATACTAAGTGTATTATGAATTCCGCCGCGAATGACGAGACTAGACTGCAAAAAAAAACTTTACCTAAAGCAGCATTAAGATGCCACTGCAAGAGGCTTGCTTTAGCCTAAACTTAAATGTTACTGTACTTAGACGCACTTCATTCCGGCTAAATCAGTAACAGATAAAAGACTAAAAATTTTTTCCTATATAGTAACTAAAAAGAGAGTCTTTAGAGAATAATCACAATAATTACTTTTTATATTTATAGCAAATAAACCATTTAACTTGACTATTTTACAATTAGTACTAATCACTGACAGAAAATATTGTTTGACTGTAATTTTCCAAGCAGTGCACGAATGGGCAATATTGCTCAACGCTTAGTGACAGTTGAAGCCAATGATGTACACCGTGGACAGATACACAAACAACAAATTACCCATTTGCAATACAGTAAAAAGAAAATTTTGCAACACTTACTGATTTTTGAAACCTCTTGTTTCGCCAGATTGCCTACCATGAGCTATACATTTACTTCAGCACCATCTT